AGTTTACGATAGTTACTGTTGGTGTCAAGTCTAGGTGGTGCCTAGGTAGTAAACTCAAGTCCATGTAAGCTACCTGTAACTTGTTTGGCAGGCGCAAAAAATGAAGAGGGAGGGGGAGGGAGAGAAAATTCCAATCCCTTTTCCCCTTTCTCCTAATCCCCTACCCTTTTCGACGCCTGCTACGCCACAGGCGGCCCAAACTCATGTTACACTTTTTCCCTGTAACGAGAGTTTGGGCCATCTGTGGCTACGCAAGGTAGCTAGCTATACCCGTTGTTTTCATGTTCTTTATTTTCCCTACAAGCTACTCGTTAACTCTTGATTACTTTACAAATGTGCTCTGGCCTTCCTTAGAAATCCAGTCTTTATAAACCTCCTCACTTAACAACTGAGAATGTATTATGAGTTTAATATGAAGCATTGTTTTCACATTATATTGCTGCAATAATTTTTAATCCCAAATCCTCAGTATACCAAAAATGAAAGCATGAAAACCAGCTGCCAAACTTCAGTGTAGCATTAATGATTGTAGTCACAAACAACATACTTTTGCTAATAAGTACCAGAAGGTTACCCATGATATACCCATTGGTAATGACAACTTTTCTTCTTAAAGCATCGTAAAATAAAATGTTATAATAGTTTTTATGGGTGAAGTGTTAATTTGGTTCACAAACAGGGATTTTAGTTATTTCCAGTTACTTAAAAACTTTACTGCAAGAAATTCACCTCCTCAAAATATCGTCATTCAGAGGGCATATCTTTTACAAAAGGAGTGGAACATACTTCTGACAAACGCGTAACAAAACGTAACCTTTCCTTCTGAGTTTAGGTTGATGCGGATGGCAAATTACAGTATTTTTCATTATTTTCTCAGGTACCATAAAACTTACTGAAACATGACTTTGTTTATGTAACGCTTTCCCCCCTTATATTTTAACTAAACTAGAGCTTTGTTTTTGTAAATGGAGGCTTCAAGTACCTGTCACTGAGGTCAATCACTGAATATTGTGCCTACGTACGATCCTTTAGGCGAAATCCGGCTCACGTTTAAACTTTGAGAATATTTTCTTGCCTTGTATACACTGAAGTGCCTTAGAAGAAACGCTGAAAAGTTGACTATTTTGCTGGCAGACTCTTTAACAACGCGCGCCCGCACTCTAAACTGGTCTCCAATTCCTGAATGAAGAGAGAATAAGCTAACTCTTGCTTAAACTGCCGAATAATTTCTCTATATTTGGTGAGTAAATTAGATGCAACAATAAATTGCAAGGTCATTTTACCAGTTAACAAGAAAGGGCAGTTTATTCGTTCATTTCAGCCTTGTTTTGTCATCGATTCTTCTTTTATGTTCTTCGAACCATCGGCGTCCTCGATCGATGAATGAAAGGGAATGGAAACCGTATTTCGCCTGCAAGACCTTAATCAGCAACCAAGGGTAAGTTTCCCCCAAATTCAGAGTCCGAGCATATTTTCTTTATCCTCAACTCGGTGGGAAAAAAATGAGCTGAAACGGTACTGCCTTATGAATCTTTACAAAGCATGCGAGGTTTCAGATTCTCAGAAGGTAAAGAGCAAACAAACCCACAAACAAACAAAGCGTGAATTCTACTGAATTTAGGGGTAAAAAATTAAAGTTATATGCAGGTGCTAATTACACTTGCCACGACATCGTTCTCTTGTACTAAATAAATGCAATATGACAAATCTCTTGTTAGTTTTCTCTTCTGGAAGAAACTTAAAATAAACCAAACATGTGATGCTTTTGATTATATTTTCGGTTGGAAAACGTCATTTTAGCTCTTTGTGAAATAAAACGATAAAAGGACAATTTTTCTGCGGAAGGAAATAATCTCGGCTAACACTGAGGGTATGACGTAGTCTGCAATGCCCAAAAATTTGATGCCAACGAACCAGTAGAAATAGGAAAGCAATGATAGTCTTAAATCAGCATACCTATGGATGATAGAAATCCATGGCATACCTAAGCGAAATATATCAGTCCAAATATTGGACTGCTTACAAAGCGATGATTTCTTGATTGTTGGTAGACTTAATAAAAGTTTGTTTTCTAAAGCGGTTTCCGTTCACGCGCAACCCGAGTTAAAGCCGCACTCTCTCTAAATTAGGTAAAAGTTATAACTTCGTTGCGGTTGGTTTCTTTGGAGCGCAATAAACAAAGCAGTAGGCGGAGCACCAAGAAAGAGTCGCAATGCCGTGAGGCCGAAAAAAAGTATCTCTTTCCCTCTTCCCTACAAAACATTTCTTTCACTATGCTCCCACGAAACCATGCACTTGCTACGTAGGCTTGTGCGATCATTACAAGATGCCTCCAGTTTTTTCGCAGGATCATCTTAGTCCAGTGGTCATAAAACTGAGATATAATTGGAAGTAAACTGTTTTGGAGTAAAGGAAATGGCGGTCCAAGAAAAATATCAGTTCTTAACCGCACAAAAAGTTCCCTATCAATATTCGCTGACTGAACCGGAATACTCAACTGACACGGTCACGATTTAAAAAAAATCAGTACTGTCCCACATGAATTTTAATGGAAGGTCATTGTTTTCAGTTCTTTACCCGATTCGTTAGTACTCTCTACTGTGCATTTTATATTAATTTCAGCGGCTGTAGTCATACAGAGGTGGCGCCCTTTCTCTTTACTTGTGGTAATAAGCTTTCCATATGGGCAAGTTAAACCTAAAACACTCAGTAAATCCCTAGTATTGTTTGTTACGCCCTCTATCCTTTCAGTTTAACTTCGAGTTCTTTCGTTTTACGAAATGATATGTTTCACAGGGTTCATTTGTTTATTTAGTATTTTGTGAATCGGATTATTTTCATCCTGTTTATTTAGTACGGCGTAAAAGAATACCGTTGATACCTTTCAATGGCCTCATAGCCGTGATATACCTAATCCATTGCATTGTTTAATTTAGAATGCCTTAATTTCAATCGCCTTAGGCAAAATGTCTGAGTTTCTTGGGTTTCCATTTCCCGGTGGACTTCGTTTTCACACACCAAAAACACAAGTCATCACTGAGTTACTGAATTATCAGAACCACAGGTAGCCCAAGCTCGAAATATGAGCGTCGGCGAGCGAGCATCGGCATTGTTGGGTAACATATATTCTAAATATAAGGATTTGTTTGAGGAAAAAACCTATCGTTTCTGTAACCTAGGGAAATGAAAGGATTTCAATAAAGAACAGCTTACCTCTCTCCTGTGTGGTATATGGGCCTATTTATGGCCGTTAAATGGGCAGTGCTGTAAACGGTTTTCTCTCCGATATGTAAGGTAAACCTTATATATACTGTATATAGAGAGGAAACTTTTTACAATACAACCCATAAAACGGCCATAAATCGGTCCATGTACCACACAGGAGAGATATAACACACATTTTATGTAAGGTAAGCTGTTTTTTATTGAAATCCTTTCATTTTCCTAGGTTACAGAAACGATACTAGGTTTTTTCCTCAAACAAATCCTTATATTTAGAATGTTACGCAACAATGCCGATGTTCGGCGATGCTCATATTTCGAGCTTGGGCTACCTGTGTTAGAACATGCTGACATCCCAAAGACTTACGGATATCACAATTTTCGTAGAATTTTTTATTTGTAACTCCAGATTATTGGTAAAAACTCCTCCCCAGCCAAACACTAAATTTCCTCCTCATTTTTTCCTTAACTCGACTCACAACTTCTTTATTAAGGAACCAATTTCCTTTTTCCGGGCGGTTTCATCATATCCACTGTAAGGCTGCGGGGCCGACGGAAAGGTATTTTAAACAAATGGGACTTATTAATTGTGGTGGGGCTAGTCTAAACCGAAAGATCAATACGGCTATTTTTGTTAGCAGTGTGTCAAAAGGAGCCGATTACCCAGGCTATACCCTGGCCTAGGCTCCTGGCGTCCTGGTTTCACCTAGCTAAATTATAAGCATAGAAAATTCCGAATGTTGACCATTGAGTAGCTGTGTTGGTAAACGGAAATAATAACCTGAAAAAGATCGAGAAAAAAAATTAAATATCAAAAGTAAGACTCCGCTATAGGTCACACAAAATCAAAATTATTTCAACTGAAGGAGCGGTCAAATGACCCCCACCTCCCTGTGTGACACGCCCAATACCAGGTGGCAGTGAGATAAATTTCTTTTTTCACATCCTCAATATGTATGAGACTAAAAGTCTCACATAAAAAAAAGGTCACTTCCTTAGTCATTACACTGACCCGCGAGTGTGTGGGTGCGTGTTTAGTTTCAGTCCCGTTAGCAATCTCCTATAAACCGGTTACCACCAGTCATTTATGAACAAACATTTTAGTGTATTTTAAAATGTATTTAAACACATTTTACTTCTTTACAAGTTCTTGCTATCCATTAGTAGCTTGTGTATCCTCCAGTGTTTTTAATTACTACGAGAATTTAGCTCTATGAAACTTCGTTTCACCTAGTTTCCACTTCAATAACAGTGTTTATACCACTTGACAAAAATATTTTTATAACACAGGGGGAGGGGGAGGGGCAAGTTACGTTTAATAAAACGTAGGAAGTATTTTGTAAAGACATAACGTAGTGGTACGTAGTAGCTCATTCACATGCACGAAACGAGAAGAATATTATCTCATCTTATGTTTCATTTTTTCATGACAATAAAACTAGGATGGGCTTGGCAAAGGTGGGAACATTTCTCAAAGACGCATATGACAGAAATAGAAATATACTTTTATATATTTAAGTTTTTTCAGGGTTTTATAAGGATTACTTTTTTTAGCCTTAGCTTCTGTCTAATTCGAGGGCTAGAAAGTTGCGTTTACAATATCGTTAGGGCGCTGCACTCATGAGATATGTTATGGTTAGTGACGCACAGTACTTGAAGAAATCGATATCGGGTTTACAGATTGAGTGAGATAAGAGCAACCTGACCTCTTAGCTTTCTTTGCCAAATATAATATTACAAAACTGTCAATAACAATAATAAAATGCCAAGCTTCTATACGAAAATACACTGCTTTGTTTTGGGCTACCCAAAGCAGATAGGCCTACTGAGGCAAGCTTGTAAACACGCGGTTTGAGGAACTCCGCCAGTGGAGAAAGGTGAGAAAGAAAGTTCTCATCTAACCAACGTTGAGGGTGAATTCAAGGAAGGTGCAAAGGCGATCATATTGTAACATCATCGACTAAATTATAAACTCTGCCTTACATATTTCCTTGTTTCTCGTACTTGTGCAAGACTGGATGCCAGCGATATTCTCTGTATTCCGTTGCCTTTACTTGACGAAAATCGATTTCTGGGCAAATTTTCAGGTAAATTTTCAATCGTTGGACTTTGAAATACTATAAAAAATATCTCTCCTCAAGTTAAAGCGTATAGTGCTTGAGTGTCTTCCATTTCGAAAAGACATAACAACATCATAATTTGAATACAATCTCAAGCATCTCTGTCCTCTATACTTTGTGGTTTTTTAATACGCAGGAATTCATTTTTCCTTAAGGAAATTTGCGCTCCTAGATTTATCGCATGTCTTAATAGGCTTGAAAAGCCATCGGAGCTTTTCAGTTTTTTGTTTTTACGCCACAGAGCAATTTTATTTATTTTTCAGATTATAGGAAAGCTGTACCCACATATGCGACTCACCCGCAAAAACCGCACAGTAAAGCCCTGAGAACCGAGTCGCAGGTAAGTTTGTAATCATTGCGGTTAGATGTTGCGTTTTATATGTGAAAATAAGGCTTCACAATTTCTTTAACCCTCAAAAATGTCGAGAGACATTGCGTGATTGGGAAACAATTGCAATTTGGTATCTTTTATGACAAAACAGCGTTGATGGCATTATTTCTTTTATCTTCAAGGCGTGAGAGAGTAAGAGTGAAAAACGGTATATGGCAAGTTGTTGTTTTTACGATATTGCGCGATAAAGTGAATTCAATTTTAGAAACGAGACGTTTGCGTTCGACATTTTTCTGAAAAATAAAGAAAGCTTGGAAAAAAAATTAAATTGATGATTTGGTGATGTACATCGTAGACAAAGGGGAGAATTGTAACCGCATATTGAAGTTCGTGACTGATATAAAATTTCAAAGAAGCTATTTTTGACCATGTTTTATCCGGAGGGTGTTTTTACGACATATCTGATACTCAAAAATCAAACCCATTTGCAGGTTTTAAAAACACCTGAAAGCCTCGGTTTATCGTCATGATTTAAGTGCTGGCCATTACAACGGGTTCTTTTTTTTTCACCAAAACTACCAAATGTGCATTTAAAAATACAGGTAGAAAAAAATTATCTACAATAGTCTCTTTCAATTTCATTTTATTCTTTGTTTTATATTGTCTTTATTCTGATATTTTGACAGCGAAAACAATTGCGTCTGTTAACCGTGAAGTTAATGAGATATTCACTTTTTTTTTGCAGGTCAATCAATAAGCGTGATTGTCTTTCATCTCATAGGAAAAACCCACAAACGGAACGTGACTTAAAAATGTCGGATCTTTTCTGCTGCAAAGATAGCGCCGGACGATATGTTTTCAACATCTTTTTTGTGTCCCTGATTGGCGCTGTGGTGATCTTATTTCTCGTTCTTGGCGGTTATTTATTCTACAAAAGATACAAGAAGGCGAAAAAACGAAGAAGACTAATGTACAGGAGCCGAGCAAACACAAACAACACGAACACAAACAGCACTGTCTTGTCAGGTGCTAGCACAAGTGAGCAAATTGCTATTTCAAGCAATTTTATCCTGGGTCGGCCTCCCGCCACAGATGTCGTGCTCGGGGTTTACGGTGACGAGGCTTCGAGAAACGCAAGGACTGCGTTTTATGATGAGAAAGGTTGGAGAGGATTTGCTTACTGAAAAATATTTTACTTTGCTCAAGGATGAGAAGTTCAAAGCATCTTTCTTCGGGCCATTGAATTACTGATGAATTAATGCCTGGCACTCAGTCTGAGTCAAAAACCGAGTCAGTAAGTTCTGTGAAGGAATGCAACTCTACCCTCTTCAAGAAAACCAATATTCGAACAAAAGGTATTTACTGACACAAAAACTAGCCTGTGGAACTCAACTTAGCAGGCACAGTTACCAGGTCGCTTCAATGTACAGCCTCAAGCTAAATGGCCCGTGATCAAGAAGTCTAAACATCTGTCGTTTCCTTAAGGAAGGCTGGCCCAGTACTCTGCGTCATTTGAAACTACGCACCCACGGAAGCTTTTTGAAAAGATATGTCCGCCTGCAATTTCAGACAGTTTAAGTATAACTTCATTCAGACAACGTTGTGAAGGGCAGTGGCTTCACGTATACCGTTAACTTAACCTTTCTAGCACATTCGTTTAATACCCTTAGCGTACAATATATAGCTGTCTTCTCTTGCTTACTTTCAAAGCTTTTTAAGTGTGGAAAAAATCACACACACCATATTTTGAGTAACTTTCAAACTGGAAAAAAAAATCGCGCCCGACTAAGTTCTTGCTCATCAATACAAAAGAAGAGAGAAAAGAAAATTCCAATATGTATGCCTCAGAAATTGCTCAAACTTAAGTATTTTATTTTCCATCCACTATACAAGATAGTATTATTAAGATTCTCCTGAGACGCTATTTCACAGGCCTTCACAAGGCCAAAAGTAGCGAAAAAAGATGACCAAGATCGAGTTTACAACTGACGTAGCATTAGACAAGACCACAAATCAACAACAACAAATTCTAGGGAATTAACCTTAGGTTAGAAAGCAACAGCAAGAGTTTCCAAGGCAATAACTTCCGTTATTAAACAACTGCGAGATTTGCAATACTGGGCTCTAGTGAACTTTTCTTGAAGCTCACGCACTAGACGAGGGTTCCAGACAGTTTAAGAGGGTACTTGTACAGCAATAAAATCAATACTAATGAAATGGATTAATTAATTAACCCTGCGAATTTGGAAGTAAATTCTGTAGGATTTTTATGTAGGTTTTATAAGGATAGATTACCAAGCCATTCGTCAACATACCTACCAAGGACAAAAACTGTTAAATATTTGACGCTTTCCAAATACGAAAGGTAACGAGTTCAAAGTCGAATAAACGTTTAACATTGAAGTATAGTCAGTGATCATAATCAGATTTGCTCAACAAATGATCAATAAAGCTCCTCGTTAGAGACTTTATGGTGTAAGTACTTAGAGAATGTATTGGTTTGACAAGGAAAAGTGGGGGCAATAAAAAAAATATGATTATGGGCAACCCGAAACTACTGACAAAAACCTGTTAATGTAAAACGTCTTAGTAAAGGTATCTTTATAGGGGACCAGAGACACGTACAAAAAGTCAAATATTGCTGAACACGGCAAATGACCGCAAAATTTGCTTTTTTTTGGACAGCACTCCAATTTCTAGTTAGTCTGTTAGCCTGTTTTCGGCAAATCATCAAAAGGAAGAAACAGGTCCCTTTTTCGGACTTTTGAGAACATCGCATCCAGCCACAGAAAAACTAAGCCGAGAATTCGCCATTTGCGCACCTCCCACAATACACCTTGCTTTCCAATAACAATTTTGAATGAGAATGGTTTTTAATAGACCTTTTCTATTGATTTGAACTTTTGACATGGACAACAAGTAAACGAAAATCCGTCGACTCCGCTGGAAAGAGCGCCTTTAAATTACTGTAGTAAGATTGCCAAGTTTGAAGGCGATTTGCTGAAAACTGACGAAGGCATATACCCCCTCAAAGTCTAACCTGTGTGCAGACGCCCTCTCCCCTCAGAAAACATCGGGAAAAGGGCAAGGGTGAGGGAAGGGGACGTAAGTACACAGGCTACTCAAAGTCGCGAAATTTTGCAGACGCAGGAGCCCATTCCTGACAGACGCTTGTACTGTAGGGGCCACAAACTTGTCCCCCACTATACAAAAGTCTGCAAATTTTTGCAGCTTTGCGGAGCTATATCTTTTCTCGTTTAAGACATGTCACTTTTAAACTTTTCAAGCTTCCTCATTTTAATTTAAGGCGCTCTTTCTAGTGGTGTCGACAGTCCCTAACTGGTGCATGAGAAAAGTTGAAAAAAACTTGGAAGGGTTTTTTCTTTCTTGAAACGACAATAACACCCAGGGGAAATTGGGAGCAAAAGTTATAGAAAATTTAATGGGGGAGGGAGCGGCAAATAAGGTCTATTATGGGGAATATGCAAATAGCGAACACAAGCTGAACCCCAATGGCGGGCTTATTTTCCCGGACAGCGGCTGGAATTCGAGCCTAGTGTCCTATCTGTCTGGTTGGTAACGCCTGGTTGTTTTTGCTCGAGGAGCTCCGAAGGAAACAATATTGATTGGAATTTTTGAGGTCAGCTTTTATTCTGGCATTATGAAACATCACAAGTTTTATAATTTCGACTGTTTTATCAATGGGTAGCGGAGTTTCTCATAATAGGCTCAAAAAAGTTGAGCGACAGAAAGAGTCAGTGAATGACAACGACCATCGCCATGTAAACAACTCTGACCAATTGCAACAGAAAAAGGAAACGATAAAACCCATGGAAGCACCTTCATCTGTACAAAATAACTCCAGATTTGGAGAAGTCCTCTCTAAAGCGCAAAAGAGTGCGAATGTCTTAAAAGAATTTCTATCCGACGGAAATATCGCGAATGCAGAAGGTGTGTCATGTTGCGAGAATCTGCTGAAGTTTTCAGGAACTATGGACGAAAGCGAAGAAATCAAAACAACAGCTGTTAACTTTGTGCTTGGGCAAAACTTTGCTGGCATAATATTTGAGATATATCGTGCTTTGTTGGAAAAGTACCCTGAAGTAGTAAAGTACGACAGGGAAAAAGTCGAAGTAAGTGTAATCAAGTGAAGACGACTGATTACATACCTACTGCATACCTACTATGCATGTAGTTATGGTAAAACAAGTAAGATACTGGGCAGATTGTGATAGCAACAGTAAACTCAATGAAGGCTGAAAATTTTGTCTCTACATTTGTTTTCTCCTAAAGCAAACTTCAGTGAAACTGGAGCTTTCTTTTTGGTTTAACAATGCAGTAACTCACTTAGAATATAATAATTAATATATCATAATATTTATGTTTTGATATGATTATCCTTTCCCCTCAAAAGATTTTCCATTGATAAAATAGAGTTAAGAATCCTAGTCATTTGGAGGCAAACTAGTTGGTTATTTATCAGTGTGAGCAAGGAGTTGAATCTGCGATTATTGAGAACAATCCAACTAGTGTTGGCAAGGGTGGGACTTGAACACAGGGCCTATGGATTGCAAGTCTAGTGGACTAACTGCTCTGCCACTCTGCCTCCAACCAATGGAACGGAATTAGGATGTTGGAGAGAAAGCTCAAAAGTTAATTATTCAATTTCCTTCAGCTTTTACGTCAAGCTTTTCTCATGTTCTTCCAGCATCCCATTGAATTGCGTCCTTGATACAGGTATATTGCTGGGCAGTGGCCAATCTATCAGAGGTTAAACCCAACTTGGCCCCATATCTTTAGACCAAAACAGAGGCCAAGAGAGCCAAGGCACTGAAACAGCATCCTTTGACCAGAGAGCAGAGAGCACCCCCTAACCTTTAGGCCTCCCGGGATCAACCACTGATTTTAAATCTGAAAGAACTGATTTGTTTGTTATTATGTTTAACCTATTGTCTTGCAGGAAAATGATAACACGATTAATTCTGAACAGCTTAAGTATGCTCAGGACATTCTTAATTTATTGGCTGGTTTGTCTGTGAATATAATAGATGTTCCTCAGCTGTCAAAAGAACATGGCAATAAGGGACTTATTCCTGTATTTTTGGAAGTGGCTGAAAAATTGAAAGATTGTGTACCAGACATGATGCCCTTTGAGGTAGGTATATGTGCTGTAGTTTAAAATGGAATTCAGAGTAAAATGGTTTAACCTTTGTTGATTCCCAATTTTCTTTGTTTCCTTATTCAAATAATTTATTATTCCTGATTTATGAATGATGTTAGGGTTAGGAAACAAAGAAAATTGAGAATAAACATAGGTTGAAGCCATTTTAACCTGAATTTCATTCTGACCCACAATGTTTAGAATATACATGTATGGTATTTAACTCCTTGATCATGATCGTGAGTTGAAAGAATTTGCTTGTGCATACTTGCTTGTGAAATGTTTTTCTCCATGAATTGCTCCTTTATAGGATCAGGAAACAAAAGTAATCTCCAAATTCACTTCTCGTGGTAGAACTTTGTCAAGGCTTCTTTCTGCACTGGTTAATCTGGCAAAACAAGTGTCAAACAGGATTGTCTTCAAAGATAGCAAAGGAGTAGAGCACTTACTGCCATTTCTGAATGCAAAAGTGACTGCCTATTATCTCAAGAGTTTATTTTGTCTGGCATACCTGATTGAAGAAAACAACAATGAAACAATATTGGCAGATGTTGGTAAGAGAAAAACAAAAGCATTGTTTTCTATGTAATTAGTTCAGAGTGTTTTTCTGTGAGTTTAAAGTATAATATATTGTCTTCACCTCTTAGTTGCCTTAAAGGGGTTATGTCACAAGGTATTGCTGTTTTAGATCTTGAATCTATGTTGAGGTCATTACTACTTACATGTATTAGGGTGGTAATTAGTCTGTTGTCATAGTAATAACAGTAGGTGCAATTCTTGGCACTTCCTCAGGACCGGTCTCGTTCCTCTCTGAGAAGAAAAGCAGGATCCTTTCCTGAACAATGGCCGGTAATTGAGCCTATAAACAGTCAGGCTATTGTTAGTCATTGTCACTTGTCCGCTTAATATTGTTGTCAGTTTAGCTTGTCTTTGTCAATAAGTCATATGTAAAGTGCCAGTTACTATGCTCATGCAGACAATCATGCATGACATTTACGCATGATGAAAATTACTTCAAATAAGCTGTACATATAGTTTGGCACCTGAACTCATTCCTTGAAACAGACAGTGTGATTGAGGGTCAGCATTCCCAACTTGTTTCAACAAACAGCGTTAAAAAAAACAAACAAAGCTAACACTGGGTGGCTAATTTTTGCATGGATAACAATTCGGTGGATAATTTATGCAGGGTTCTCAATAGATTTTTAAGTAGGAGGTGATCACTGATAAAGTAGGAGGCTCTTCAGCAAAGCCAGAGGTGTCAAAACAAAGCAAAGAAAAGCGACTTAAACACAAAGTAAGCGGCTATAAATCCCAAAGTAAGCGGCGATCAATCGCCGGGTGCCGCCTTCTATTGAGAACCCTGTTTATGTGTGGCTCTTTTAACATTTCAGAGCACATCAAATTTGTTATTCAACTACTGGAAAAGGCTACAAAGTCAAGTTCTAGAGCATACCTTGGATTTTCAGTAATTGATGTCGTTGATGGAATAAGTCAACTGGCTGTCAATGAAAGCAACAACAGGCAGGCAAGTTGAGATAGAAGTGGTACAGCTGTAGACTGTGAGCAAGTGCATGGTTTAGTTTCAGTTTTGGTCTCTGTTTCAGTTTTACAATTATATTTAACTAAAACAACTTCTTTTGTCTTTATCTTTTCTAGATTGGATTGAATGGAGGCATTCCAGTTATCGTTAACACATTGAAGTCATATCAACAAGAAGATGAGATACTTGCAGTTACAAAGGCCTTGTGGATGCTGTCGTTTGATGCTACGAGCAGGGCACTCATAAAAGCTATCCCATCAGCCATTGAGACACTTCGGAGCTTGAGGCAGTATCCAAATAAGGATATCGCAAAAGCGGCTTCTGGCATTTTCTGGGAAATTGACAGGAAAAGAGATTCCTCTAGTCCAGGTATAGCCTTTTTGTACAGATGTAATCAAGCGCTCAGTCACCAGGTTAACTAAAAGTCGTTTTGAGCAAAAACGTATGTCATCTTAGTATAAAGGCACAAATGGTGTGTCAAGCTGGACTGGAATGAATTCAACGTCCTCTGTTAAGATCATTTTATTATTTTCTTCTTTGCTGGAATGTCCAGGCGGGTTACATATTGGTGACCCGGAGAGACAGTAGAAATAATAAGCTGAACATGGTTTCATAAGTATCCATTGCTAGGATTTCAGCTTCACAAAATTAATGTCATAATGCAATAAACCACAAAAATAACAACTACAACCAAGAAAACGGGTGAAACTGAGTGAACTGTTTGCCGCAGCGATAGTTTTCGAGTTGGAATTCATCAGTTTTGGTGACAGGGTGGGTTGGCAGACAAAGTAAAGTGTTGGGTATGATTTTTTTACTGGCCGTGTGGTAGTTGGTGTCTGGTGATATGGTTATGCGCATGCATAAGGTACTGGGCATACTGTCTAGCTACGTAGTTTGACCTTTGCTTCAGATGATTTTGTTCATTCTATAACTATCTTTCTTGGTAGTGGCTACAAAAAATCACCACCTGATGATAAGTTATCAGTGGGATTCCCAGTCTACCATGCTGCAAATCAGAGATAAACTGCGTTCCGCTGGTTTCACTGTGTGGATTGATGTAGAAAACATGAGTGGCTCGACTCTGGAGAGTATGGCAGCTGCTGTAGAAAACTGTTCTGTGTTTCTGATGGCGATATCACGAAAGTACTTTGAGAGCCCAAACTGTCGCTCAGGTAAGAAAGGTGAAAAGGCCTGCAGAGTATTTTTGGTTTTTCTTTTAAAGAATGATGGTATTAGAGGATTGATGCTTAATGTGGCTCCATGGGGTTTTCAAGTTTGAGCATAAAGGGCCGAGAAATACGACCGCAAGTAAAATAGGTTATGGCGTCATTTTGTTGTATGACAACGCCGACGTTTTTGAGACCCTGGTCATAATCAATTTTCATCTTTATCTAATACAGTTGCTGTGGTAATTGTTCCAGATCTTTGTCAATGGTAGTGTAGTCTATGCTGAAACTGTGCAGGTGTTGACCCTGAAGAACCCGATCGAGCCACCTTAAGTCATTTACTAGCTGCTTGATCTAAGAAACAGATTTGGTTTTGAACTCTGTGTAACTATTTGCTAAGTGAAGTAAGCGAGACTAGCCGTCATTCACTTTAAATAGGCCACTTCTCCAAATCGCTTTGTCAAGTGGTGCCGATAAAATCCACATTTCCGCATTTGACCGTGTGCAGCACAGTACACAATACATCTACGATCTTAAAATGAATAACCAAGAAAATTCTCCTTTAACCACACAGAAGCAGAATACGCTTATCAGCTGAGGAAGCAAGTCATTCCATTAATGATGGAGCCTCGCTTCCAACCTGATGGGTGGCTCGGGATTATAATGGGTACAAAGCTTTGGATGGACTTTAGGGAAGCACGGAATGTAGAGACCGGGATGAGCCATCTCATAAGGGAATTAGAGATGAGAGAAAAATCTAAAGGAACCCGCTTGACAGGTAAACAATGCTCGTGTGGTGAATCGCAGCCTGCGTCGGGAGACGTAATTTAACCCCGGCTAGTAACGTCTGCGAACCGGTGCTGATATCCTTGTTCTGGGCGCCGAACGGACTCAACGAATTACCAGAAGTACGTTTCCAATACCCCCGGGGTACTCCGCAATTCCCCCCAGGGGTACTCTGTAATTCTCTCCGGGGTACTCCGTAATTCCCCTAGGGGGTACTCCGTATATATGTAATGACATATACGGGAAGGCTCTGCTCGAAAAGGGTGCCTTTTACAGGCTTCAGGTAGCGAACAACTTCCATGAGCTCGTGTTACAGCGTTTTCAAGGAGCAATTTATTTTTAGAACGGTTTTGGCGCGAATTTTAAACATCTTTTAAATTCCACTTACCCGTCAGCAAAAACTACAGACCTAAAAATAATATTTTTTTGCCCTTCAATAACGTTTAGTTTTCCTTTTTGACATCGTATACTTCGAATGCGCTCATAGACATGGTGGAGATTCTATTTTCGATGGAAAAAGTGCCTTAAAATGTGTCTAAAAATAAACTGGCCCGTAAAACGCCATGACGTAGACCAAGTACGGGAGTTGCTCGCTCCGGGTTATGGACTCCTGGAAAGGGTAGGCATTTCACTAGCTGAAGTACTATAAGAAAGGGAAGGGAAATCTTTGATTTCGGTTCGTGAAAAGGCTGAAAAGGGCCAATAGGTGCATTTTATGGCTATAGAAAAGTCGAGAAAACGTTCAGGGTTTGTGATTTATCGAAATTTAAAAGACTGTGAATTTACAGCGGTTAAACGAGATGCAACGTTCTAAACTAGGTATGTGAAAGGGGTACCATTTATCAGTAGAGGGTATACGGAAGGGGAACCTTTTCTGTGCAAAATGGTGTATAAAAGGGTCAGGAGTTGGATCTTAGGGCGGAGCCTTCCCGTATAAAACTTTGTTGAGCTCCTCCGGGCCAATTTCACTTCCGCCTGATTGGCAGTTCGACAAAGGCTTTTTTAACAGACAAACCCATGGCACATACTGAAATCCTGGTACAAAGCGAGCGGCCCAGAACAAGGATTTCGGCGCTGGCTCGTAGACGAACTTAACCAGAGGTTTAGTTTTGTTTGTTGCCCACCGGCTTGGTGAATCCCTCTTCATGTAAGGATTTGCTTGGAAATTAACTTGATGTTATTACAAACCTGGAAATACCAGTCATTGCTGGAAAGATTAATTCACTTCGGTTTATTTCAAATTGCAATAGTTACCACTGACGCGGACTGAAACTTATTTTGGTTTCGCGTAAATAGGCAGGATTAACAGTCGCCTCGCACGCGGACGTTCTTTTGGGTCGTCACGCAATCCTTCCCAACGTGGGTGAGGAACTCGTGACGAAGCTCCAAGAACATCTGCGTTGGGAGCTAAAGGCTAGTTAGCAGAACCCTCGATACGCGAAACAAGGCTGAGACAACGCGGGAACGTACGAAGAGGAGTTATTATATGTATTATAATAATACTTTGATTGTTTTATTTTGGCTACAGGAGGTAACCAGAGTAAACCAAAAGAAATCGACCTGAAGACGATGTTACAAACATACAAGAAAAATCACCGAAGTGTGTACGTCTACTTGTCAGAAAGCGAGAAGATCATCAGGAGCCTGAGGTCCTATTTAGGTTCTGGTCAGCTGGCCACTGAAGCAGCGTTTTGGAAAGCAGATGCCTTAGTTGCAGTGTACACCAAGATACCTGACCAATCAAGCAGGACTATAGTGGGTAACTTCTTGGTCGATGTCAATCTTCCTGAACTCTTGACTGGCATTGTTAGAACTCTTCAAAGAAGCCACCCAGAAGCTTTTTCTTTAGAAAGGCTGGAAGCAAGTTCCACAGAAGGCGAGACAAGAAAGAAGGCAAGTAAAAATGTATATGGCTGACTAAAGGTACAGGTAAAACGGGCAGCAAAAATGTGCGACTTGTTTTGGATTATTGCTACAAAACCAATTGAAAAGTGATGTGGCGCGTTTTACCACCCACGAGTCAAACCTGTCTTGCAACAAATCAGCTTGTTGCAAGGTGCGAAAAGTTGTTGCGGAAAATAGAGAGTGGTTCTACTTTCTGGAACAAAATCTGTACACGTTGTGCGTTTTACCGGCCCAAGGCAAACCTGTTTTGCAACAAGTGACGTAACTCGCCGTTTATAGCGAGACTCCCGCGTAATTTTATCCAATCAAAATCAGGACAAGGTGAAGGTGAGGACGTTACAGGGTCATTTAATTACATTTCCCTCAGCGTCGAGGAGAGTATAACGGTAAAAGGCGCCGTTTTCCGTCAACTTGACGCTGAAGTATTGTCATAAGGTGTTTGCAGCTATTTTTGAGGGATGGGGAGGGGAGGGGAGGGCTTCTTGAGGAGGCTTGTAAGCGATGGGGCCTTATATAAAACTGGAGAAGTAACTCTGAGCAGGTCATATTATTTTGTGAACGGCATCCTCAAATTTCCAGTGACGCGTATCAAAATCACTTTGCACGGCAGCTAATATTTTACTGCAAACTTTCAAGTTTTTGCAGTCTGAAGATAATCATTCAAGTACATGTACGAACACTTTGCGACTGTTAAGTGTAACAAATCAATTCGTGGCAATTGGAGGGTAGCTGCTTATTTGAAAAGGGGAGGGTCTTAATACATTTGACTGTTCGAAAGCAGAGATTAAAAGAAAGGGGCGCTCTTTCTTGAGAGACATTACAGTAATTGGGATCGTCTGTACCCCTGTGTTTTATTGTAGGTCATTTCGAAAGCTGGTTGGGCTGTAGAGGTTATGTTATCTGTGTCTATATCCATTTTAAACTTTACTGATCTCCATGATGCATTTTGTGAAGCATGTGGCAGCGCCGGTTTGGTAGAACTTATCTTGGGCCTATTGGAGCAACTAAAGACATGTACGCCAGACTTTAATAAGAGTCAGGTATGTATAAGGCTTAATGAACCTTTAATGACAAGACAACATTGAAACATTTAAGCGCAGTGGCGGCAGCAGATTTGATCTGGTGCGTCCGCTACTCCAGCCCCGTTAGTGCTGTTGCCCTTTTTCCGTATACGAAAAAATGAAAATTCTGCCCGTAAAAACTTCAAGCCTTTAATGGCAAACCTTTTAATAACTTTTAATTATACTTCCAGGTTCTTCCAAAAGATCCTGAGGACAAAGATGTTAGCTTTTCAAGATTGGGCAGTTTGATTTTTGAACTTTTAGGAGTGCTTCACAACCTTTCCAAACGAAGTAAGAACAAACAATATTTTGACGACAGCAGCGCGATAGGGACACTGTTGAGCTTCTTCAGAACACAGTTTCCAGTTTATAGGATGACTGCCCTACTTTGCATGGCTTACTTAGTTGACGAGAAAAATAACCATCTCATCATGGCGAGCGAAGGTATAATATTTAGTTAAAGGCAATGTTTTACTGCAGTCTAATCCAAGTTGCTTTAGTTTCTGTTGCTGGTTGTTTGCTACAAAACTCAAATTTATGATCTTCTTTACATTTATTAATATTTCTTCATTCCGCGGTTCCGATATTTGAACTTCATCTGATATTCATCTCTTTATCTTCATTTTTCCTGGATATACCATAAAATTCCGAAAATATGCCCCTCCGTGTTTAAGCCCCTCCAGATATAAGCCCCCCAAACTCGTAACGCAAAAAACCCTCCGTCAAATCGCCCCTCCAAATATAAGATCCCCGGGGGCTTGCACTTGGAAATTGCCCTCAAATACAAAGTAAAACAAAGCAAAAATAGTAAATTTACTTCCAACTATAAGGCTAGCCTAATCGATTTTGAAACACAAATTTCCCTCCGTAGATAAGCCCCTCCGAAAAAATTAAAAATTCTGAAAATAAGCCCCTCCATGTATAAGCCCCTCCAAATATAAGCACCCCAAACCGGTAACGCCAAATACCCTCCATTAAATTGCCTCTCCGAATATAAGCCCCCCAGGGACTTGTACTTGGAAAATTGCCCTCAAATACAAAGTAAAACAAAGCAAAAATAGTAAATTTACTTCGAACCATAAGGCTAGCCCAATCGATTTTGAAACGCAAATTTCCCTCCATAGATATGCCCCTCTGAATATAAGCCCCTCCAAAAAGAAGCCCCTCAAAAAAGGCCTTTGAAAAATATAAGCCCCGGGGCTTATTTGCGGAATTTTACGGTAATTACGAACCAATTTAATGACCATCTCCTAGTTGGCCTGTTAGCTTATTTGGTTAGGGCGACGCACCGGTATCGCAGAGGTCAGGGTATGAATCCCGGCAAGCCTGATTTTTCAGGCTTTTTTTCGCATCTGCGCAGGTTGAGTCTTTAACTGCGATGACGTTCTTTCGCCAGCTTGCACCTGCAAAAATTTGCAAAAGTAATTGATAATATGTTTTTCGGAAGTCTATGACGTAAGACTGCATCTGATTTGTCTGCTCAAGACTTAGACTACGAGTAGTCCCCCATATTTCCTCAGGGATAGTAGAGCTAGCGAAACGCGAGCGCGCGTGAAAATCACCCCTTTTCGAGAAAAGGCGACACGCGGCTCGCTGGGGGACTACTCGTAGTCTACTCACGACTTCATGAGAGTATTAAACTTGCGGTTCGCATGCGCATAATACTGTACAGATGGTCATGTCATGTTTGTGTAAAATACACAATCTGTCCACTTTTTTTATATATGCAATTCGTTTCAGAGCCAATCAAAGATATTTTGAAGCTGTTGGAAAAGGCTACCAACTCCGCTAATAGGCGCAGTCTGGGATTTTCTGCGGCGGAAATAGCTTATGGACTAAGTCACGTGGCCACTAACGACGGCAACAAGAAAATGGTACGACACCTCATTGTATAAGCGTGCAAAGTTCAGCTTACAACAGATGTCCGAGTATAGAAACTAGTTTATACGATTCTGCTGCAGTAGTGAAGCTGGGAGGTTCATTTTGGCTAAGCCACGCAACATCTGGACGAACTTTCTTAGTTTTCTGGGAAACTGCCCACCTACCTCCCCCTTAAGCCGACATTTTGCCCCTAGTGAGAAGTAAGTGTTAATATTGGCTTAGGGGAGGGGTAGGTGGGCAGTTTCCCAGAATCCTAAATTAATCGTCCGTTTTTTCAATTAACTTGCATGCAAAAATGTTGAGGGGCAGTATCCGGGCATTCATGCTTTCAGGTTTTTTTGTTTTATTTTGTGTGAAAGGTCAGTCACTGTAACATTTGTGTCCTAGATTGGCCAACTTGGAGGCATTCCTTTGTTGGTTTCTATGTTGAAAGGCCCCGTTGAGCTCGAGGAAGAAAGATTAGCTGCAATCAAAGCGTTGTACATGCTGTCGTTTGATGAGACGAATAAGGAAATGATAAAATCTGATCGCGAAACTTTAGCCCTACTGAAGAACTTGGAACGCTCACCGAACAAAGAGATACAGCAAGCAGCGGCTGGAGTGATGTGGGAAATCGAGGGCAAGAAGGAACACGTTCATAGCTCAGGTAACAGTGTAAAGTGAAAGATAGACGACCACTTTAACCTAAACGTTTCCGAGTAGTTCTATGCGATTGTAGCCTGCAAGTTAGCTCTGGAGTCAAGTTTGAACTTGTGTATGGACCTTCTCTAACTCTATCAGTTT